GATGTCTCCCTTCACCCATGGCTGTTCATCCTCCTGGATGGGGGTGTGTGTGGTTGCAATGGTCCCCTCTTCCTCTCCGCCTCTCTTCACCTTCCCCCAAGCCTCCTGGTATCGCTACTCCCATTCCTGCTCCTGGATTCTGCATGTGGTGAGCTCTTATCTCCACCTGTGCACATGCTCTGGTCTAGCCCACAGTGAAAGGCACGACTGGGGTCATGATAATGGCGGGTGAGGAAACATCAAGGAACTAGAGCAATATTGTGTGTTTCGTTGGTGCTATACTGCCCCCTAGTTGACTCATCCCTTACTTCTGACTCTTCTGTGAGGGGATATCTCATTGTCTGCAGATGGGTTTGGGGTCTCTGCTCCGACCCCCCTCATTATCAACAATATATTTTTGTTTGTTTTCCAACCTTTTCATAATGTTATTGCACACATTAAAGAGACTATAGTACAGTGGAAACATAACTTTTACATGCACTGGTGTGTCAGTCTGGGTTGAGTAGAGAAACAAATTCATAGACACTCATATGTGTATAAGAAAGAACTTTATATAAAAAGTAATTGTATAATAAGAAAACATTCCAGCCTAGTCTAGATTAAGTCTGTAGTCTGATATTAGCCCATATATCTGATACAAGTCTATAAATTCCCCTTCAGACTCACGCAACACATGCAATGTCACCGAATGCAGAAAGATCCCAGGCCAATGGGTGGAAAGTCTTGTGGATCCAGTGGCGGTGGAAACATCTCAGCGCTGGTTTGGGACTCAACATGGCTCCTCCAGCTCAGGGCTCTGGCTCCATCAGCTTAGCTCCATTGGCTTGTCAACAGGACTGTCTAGCAGAGAGTGTGTGTCCCACCTCAAGGGAGGAAGACAGGAGTTCTCAGAATTCTCAGGAGAAGGTCCTGCCCACACAGAGGCTTCATTGACCTGCTAGATTCCTGTCACTCTAGTTGACAGAAGATTATGCAAGTGCCACAACTGGAAACCAAAATTTATTGTGACTTGCTTTATAGTGTGAATTGCAGAGGTCTGAAACTGAAACTGCTAAATATCCAAGGTATGCCTATATCCTAGAGAAATAAGGGCCATGGCACCAAATTGATACCTTGTTCGATGCAATATTATTCTCAATAGTAAAGCATGGCTCAGCTGCTTTGGGGAAAAGTTTGGCAGCTTCTCATAAAGTTAAACACAGAGTTACCATATGACCTTGTAATTCCAAAGAATTGAAACCATATCTCTACACAAAAACTACCGCAAATACTCGAGTATAAACTGACCTGAATATCAGCCGAGGCACCTAATTTTACCACAAAAACTGCATTAAAAATGTGCTGAACTGTGTGATCATGAGGTGCTGAAGGGATCAGTTATCAGGCATCAAAGAACAAAAAAATCATATAATTGTGTGTTCACCTCCCC